AAAACAGAAAGAGAGAAGAACAGAGAGAGAACAGAAAGAGGAGAGAGAGAGAGAGAGAGAGAGAGAGAGAGAGAGATGAGAGAGAGAGAGAGAGAGAGAGAGAGAGAGAGAGAGAGAGAGAGAGAGAGAGTGTTAAAATACTAGTTAAAAAATAATAAACTACACTAAAAACATTAAAAAAATCAATACGAACATATAAATATATATACTAAGAACAAATATTCTAAAATGTGCTATTGTCATATAAGGCTTTCATGATAAATGAGCTAAAGCAACAGCTTACTTGCTAATGCCTAGGCTCCTGCAAGCTGAGGAAAGCAATTTGGGGTGCTGTGCTTCAGGTTTTATCTTATGTCAGCTGTGCATCTCAGTGGATACCAGACAACCATATCCTCGATCACAATGGTGAGAACGCAGGCAGGTACATACACCCCTAATGGACACACAGCACAGGCAAAGGTTAATGCTTAATTGTTGAGTATGTACCACAACTATGTGACTTACCAGCAGACTTTATCTTTATTTGTATATAGAACACAAAATGTAAAGGACTATCATGCTATTACTAAAAATAAAGAATACTGGTCTACACATACAATAGTGCAAGCTTTTACAAAGAAAACCATACCAGGAACTCAGAGCAAAATAGCATATGTTATATACTGCTCCTAAGTCAGAAAAAACTACAAAAAAGAAATTTATAAGAGAGACACTCCACAAACCCAAATACATATTACACACAAAATGGAGAAGAAAAAAAAATTATCAGACAAATAAAGCAAATTACTTTACACTTGGAACACAAAGATATTAGTCTACTGAAAATGATGAGTGGGTTGATGCATCACAGGAATTAGAAGGGAAGGGAAGGGAAGGGAAGAAGGGAAGGGAAAGTGAAGGGAAGGGAAAAGAAGGGAAGGAAAGGAAAGTTAAGGGATACTAGGGGAAGGGAAGGGAAGGGAAAGGAAAGGAAAGGGATAAATTATGTGTAGGGTGATAAATTACACTGGAAGGGCAGGGCAGGGAAGGGAAGGGAAGGGAAGGGAGAAGGAGAGGAGAGAAGAGAAAATAAAAGGAGAAAGAGAGGAGAGGTGAGGAAAGGGAGTTGGAAATAGTATAGGAAGGGGAAGGGAAGGGAAGAGGTGGGACTAAGATAAAGATCTAAAAATAAAGTTGTCTAAAGAAAGTAATATCTGGATAGAATGGGGAGGATCCAGGCAAGAAGAAAAAGGAAAAGAGGAGGAGGGGGGGTAAATATATGAGGAGAAGAATGTGCTTTTAAAGATTTTGTTTTTTCCCCCAATCATTAAATTCCAAAGAGTCCTATTGTAACTATCAGTTGTTGTTTCTATTATCACGCAAAACACTGACCTCCCTAGCATTAACCTCATACCATCAGTAATCTAATAAAATGCTCCAACCTGGAAACCAAGCTCAAAAAATGAAGATGTCACATTGTCTTTTCCATACATTTATGATATCAAGCTACATAATTACATTAAAAGAAAGAAAGATAAAAAGAACACAAAAGATAAAGAAAAACAACATTAACATGTAAAATCTTCATCTTCATATGCTGATTCCTGGTGCAGACTACAGTTCCAAGTATAAGACTGCCACTAACTGTTTGTAATACCTCTCTGAATGGGTAGGGTTTATCGGTGGCTCCCACTGAGGTGAAGGTGGCTCTGAGAGCAGGAGAGAGGCGGTACAATGGCACATTGGATGAGGTGACCTGAGTCTCCCCACCCTGGTTAGTGAACCCACTCGCACCTTCTCCCACTTTAGACCCACCACCACAACCTTGGGGCTGATGAACCTGCCCCCCACCGCCTTTGCCAGTGTTGCTGTCCGCACTTTCAGCCGCAGGTCTGGGTAAGGGGTGATGCTCTTCCCTTGGCACACCCGTACCAATGCTGCTGGTGATGCATTCAGCCGCAAGTCTAGGTGGGGGGTTATCACAGGTTGTCTCCCGGCTGCTCTCGGGGGGGAACACAGCCAGTGGCCGCTCTGCCTCTGACAGGTCGGGTGGCATTTTCACACCCTCACCTGGATTCCACCCTGAAACACCATTTCTGTCACTCCCTGATCAACACCATCAAAATCTTCTAAATCTTCCTACCATACTTACGATATTCTGAAATATTTGTTTGGTCAAGTTTATTAGAACAATTCATATACATGTTTTTTCTTTATAAGAAACTAATATCAAATAAAGCCACTCACATTTAATTCAAACTATAAAAACTTTTCACAATTTTGTGATTTCACTGTAATTCAGCCTGTATCTTCATTCTATATTTGAATGCTAGAACCAGATACTTTTCATTGAATGAAACAATCTTTTTCATGAGATTATTTATCAAATTTTCAAAAGCCACTTAACCCAATGACTGCAGAAAAAAGACAAACTGGGTTATTACTATGGGACTGTTAAGAGGCATCAGCAATTTGCCCATTTGCAACCTGCCTTTTAATCACCACTTTTGGTAAGTATCATTCTATTCTGGTATTTTTAAGTACATGTTTGAAAAAAAAAATAACCCTTTACCAGGCACACATTATAAAAACCTCATATATATATACATGTATTTAAGTGATCATATATGGTCACTTGCCCGATAAAGGGTTAATGGTTCCCATCACTTTATGCGCCTGTATCTAATCGTGACGCAAAACAAATGATACCACTATCTGAGAGGGAAAGCTCCTCCATCCAAACTGGTGGTGCAGGCTAGGTTATGTGATGCCATCTGTATTTTAGTTCAGTGCAACCATAGCATGAGATCTCTCCAACCAATGGGTTAATCCATGGCTTGTTAGCTTGTATTCTTTCATCTCAGGGTTTAAAACAAGCTTTCTCTGAGTATTTTTCTTCTGCATTGACACATTAAGTACAGTCACTTGTACTGTGACGAGTGACATCTGTCATGCACAATTTTTTTCAAGCTATATTCAGGCACCTTTTGTATTCAACTACATATTGTCCTGAGGATAAATATCTCATGAATATAGATTTTTCTCAATGACTCAAGCTCTATAATGCATATCTATAAATCAATAATCATAAAAATTGAGTGACTTTATAAAATAAAAAATCAAAGCTGTATCTGTCATGAACTAACAAAGTGAACTTATAACATCTGTCAATAAATGACATTATCATAATGGGTTCACTTTACACCTTTAAGTAAATTTACTATACTTACAAGTTGGAATTATTTTTCATATATTGTGACCTACACCTGAAGTATTTCTGTCTTTATCCTGTAACAGGATTTTCTTGCACTGAACTGAGCCACAGGCTAGTGCACATGCAGCCAGCCACTCAAGAGAAAAATTAGGCATATGGGCAAGTGTTATCCCAGCTCCATGCCTGTTTAGTTGTGACATAATCAATTTTTCATTGACTGAGGCTCCTAAATGGTCACAACCAAGGCCAGACAAGAGAACAACTTGGAGTGGGTTGACTGCACATGGCATGTATTCTTACTACCTGGCAATCTGGCTCAGTTCATTATAGCAAGAATGGATACATACCATCAATAATTAATTAAAATGCTGATAGCAATAATTAACCAATTTATTTGTTAACCTTTTTAAGTCAATTTCTATTGCCTAATACTTGGCATGTAAAAAGTTGAGTGTACTCCTACATCCTTTATATAGAAATGTTATTTCCTACATCCTTTATATAGAAATATAGGATTTTATGGATTTTTTATTTTCTTTTGAATTAAAATGATAACTTTCTCAAAAATGCTTTATGCTATCCTCAACTTAATTAACAAAATTCCATAAACAATACAATCTAATGACATTCACCCCTATCTATTTCACCTGTTTCCTTGAATGTGTTTATTTACTTATTTGTCTTGTTTTGGGCATTTTCATTGTCATTATAATATTCATGAATAATTGTAGTTCTGACTTTCTTTGATTTGGAAGTGTGCAAAGACCCCAATCTCAATGACATTTGTCTATATCATGCTGCATTTCTTGTGCTTAACACTGTGGTGATATTTTTTTCCTGTCCCAAAATGAGCCACATGCTAGGGTGTGCAGACCATCAGCCTACAGCTAAAAAATACCCATCTCTCTCCCTCTGTGTGCTTTAGGATATGGGATACATGATTTTTCCATGGCTGAGGCCAAAACAAAGCTTTACCACTTCATTTGTGATGCCGTAGCTTCGGAATAGTTGCAATCAGAGCCAAACAAGCTAACAACTGTTTTGGCCACACAAGTTGAAGCAGGCTGATTGCATGTGGCATACATCTTTGCCACCCAGCAATTAGGCTCAATTTGTTAAAGCAAGAATATATGTTTCACCAATAAGTAGATAAAAGGTCTATTTCATGGATACCCTATGATAGATATTTATTCAAATCCTTGTTTTCTGGCCATAATAGAATTTTTCATGTAATCCCCATTGGGTTTCAGTTAATCAATTTTTAAACAGGCCAAGATATACTAATATCCATGATCTATCCCAAAGAACACCCACTGCTGATTGGTGAAATCAGACAAAAGCATCATGCACAATGCACTTCCATTTTTATACATATGTATATATATATATCCTTTTCCATATTTTTTCTTTCTTTATAACCTGCTTATCATGCTATATTTTCAAAATGTATTACAATCCTCCTTCCACGCCTGATGGTGTTTGATCCAGGGTAGTATCAGAACCTGAGCCAGGCCCAGCTGCCCAAATGCTCATATGTTGAAATTCCAGGCCTATCCAATCATATACTACCCTCCCAGAGCTAATTCTGCATTTCAAATAAAAGTTTTGTAAAACTCTTGTACTAACTGCAAAGTAATGGTCCTACAAAAACATACTTAATTGAGAATTTTGAATTCCCTGCTTCTATACTTTGTGAATCAGACACAACATCCAAGTCAATGGAATAATCTACAGTAAAGCCTTCAAATCCCAAGGAAGAAATAATTCTTAAATTCCTATATTAACTTTTCAGATACCTTAAAACAAGAATTCATAATCTATTTGGTTTGTTTCTGTACTGCTTGTCGAACCATGTCCATATAAATGAACTATGTCAAGTTACACTTACTCCAGATTAAAGGGGGGAAAACTATATAAATCTTAATGTTGTCCCTTTGGTCCTGAAATCTAAATATATCAAAATAATTAAAAACCTAATGCAAAATAAAGAGTGCATCAGCATTCTTCAGGTTTTTTTTTTTTTTTTTTTTTTTACATGAAAATATCTAGATTGACACATGCATTAGAATATATTGGTTTCTTTTCAAATCCCCACTGAAGCAGGAGGATCCCCCCAAAGAAAGAAAACCCTTCCTGCTCTTGCTGAAGTCATAATAAAAGACCAGTGAAGATGGGACTGGCCTAAAAACAATCAGAAAGCCACCACTCTGGACACGTCTATTCCTTCTATTTTTGCAAAGTGAAGGAGTGAGAAATTTCTTTTTAGAAATGCACAATTTTCAATTAATCCATAATCATAAAAACTACAAAAAATCACACCATACCTGTCTTTCTGAATAAAATGAGACCACTCCCATCTTCATCTATCAAAAATGAGTAAAGTACATATTGAGTAAGAGGAATTGACCCAACTTTTCAGTTCAAAATATTGATATTTTTTAAATATTTTTATGAGATCTAAATATCTATTGGATTAGTTAATAAATAAATAAAACAAGTAAAAAAACCCAACCCAATTTTGGGCTATAACTCAAGAACTGAAGGTCAATCATCTTATTATCAACAACAATCATGCAATAAAAACGAGGGTGAAGAGAAAGAAAGTGATATCCTTACAACACTATAAGCCAAAAATAATATAATGCATATCTATAAATATTCCCATGACTTCTTGTCTAACAGATGGATGGGAGTACCCAAGCTGACTATGTAGAACACATCTGCAAATGAACATCTTCATTAAGGTCTTGGGGGGAAGTGGGTCAAGATTGATATTTCAAGAGAAGTTAAGTTTTCCAGGCTCTCAAGATCTGGAACATCCTATTTTGGTAATTATTTACAAAGTGACCACACCCCTCTGAGAATATGTCATTGTTACACCAGTCTACAACTCTGGGGACACTGATGGTAATCCACCATCATTGCTGTATGAACCAAAAACATTCCTAGCCTGTGAGCTCCAGACCTCACCTGATTGACAGTTCCCAGACCCCACCCAACTGCCTAGGACTTACGTTATTTATTTTTATCATTTAGTGGTAAATGTGAGGCCACTGCAACTGTACCTGTGTTATTTCTAACTCTACTTCTTATACTCTATAAAAATGGCAGTGCTCATCTTCCATGTCTCTTGGTAACTTTAACTTTTTCTTTCAAGTACAATATGGATCAACCTATTCAAAATTATTCAAATATGGGATCTTAAAAGCCATACAACTGATGTGGAACTATCTGCTTGACAGTTAAATTTCCCAAACAGGATAATATATATCAAGGTGAAAGTTTAATGAAAACATCAACGACCTTGTTAGATAGTAAAAATACTGATTTGCCTATTTATTCTATCTAGTTTGCCTTGAGACTCCCTATCTATCTGCCAGTCACATCTTTCTTTTACATAGATGTGTATCACATCAATATTTTGAACTCTGGGAATCATGATTCAGAACCCTTAAATGTTTAAATTGTGTGGGTGGGTATGCAAACATGTGAAGTTCACTGTTAAATTTCTTTTCTCAGTCTTGTGAATAATAACTACTGTATACCAACAGATGTAACAGAATGCAAACTAACACAAGGACATTATATTTTGTATATTTTGACACATACTAATTGCCTTGAACGTCAGTTAATAGTCCTAAAAATTGACTTATCTCTTTATCTGCCCCTAGCAAGGGTGTGTATATTTCATCTGTTGGTAATAACAAACGGTCTGAAATAAAGTTTCGAACAAATCAGACAAAAGGTAAAAAAAAAATCAAATTCCTTACCCCTAATACTCTCAAGGCACTGTATCCCCATCACAGGCACATCCTCCAGACACACTTAATAAGGAAACTATTTTCCACACTCGGGAGATTCACACTGTATATCCTCCTCCTCCTTCTGTTGTTTCTCTCAACTGACGGTCGCTTACCTCTTCTACTCTTCAATTATACCTCGGTAGTGGTAGCCACATCGTGTGCCAATCTCTGCAAGGGCACACGGTGGAACTGGTGATCGTATGAGTCTCGCTACGGGTTGGAACAAGTGCTGAAGGCGGCGACAACGCTCTTCTTGCTTCAACGTGTGTAGTGTACGCCACCAGGCTTGCCAACATCGCGTTTTCATTCAAGCACATATTCGCAAGTTTTCGTGTGGTTTGTAATAGTATATTGTATTTTCAGATTGAATATTAATATAGAAGATTGTTTATTTCATGCAAAGCGGTCTTCAAGTATGTATATTCTATTTCATTGCCACTTTTTTTCTTTTCTTTTTTTTTGACGTTGTGAAATGTTCGGGGCCGCGGATGGCGATGTACGAGA